TATGTTTATTAATCTGTTTTTTGCCTTCTTTCTTTCATTCTTCCTTTTTTCTTTCTTTAATTATTTCATTTTGGTATTTCATTGTTTGTTTGTTTCTTTTTTTTTACTTCTTAATCTTTCTTTGTTTTTTCTTCCTTATTTTTTCTTTCTTTTACTTATATTTATTTTTCTTTAGTTTCTTTTTTACTTAATCTGTCTTTGTTTCTTTTTCTTATTTTGTCTTTTTTTATCTTTTTATCTTTTTTCTTTTTTTTCTTTCTTTTTATCTTTTTTCTTTCTTTTTTTTTTTTCTTTTTATCTTTTATTTCTTATCTTTTTTCTTTCTTTTTATCTTTTTTCTTTCTTTTTTTTTCTTTTTATCTTTTATTTCTTATCTTTTTTCTTTCTTTTAATCTTTTTTCTTTCTTTTTTTTCTTTTTATCTTTTATTTCTTATCTTTTTTCTTTCTTTTTATCTTTTTTCTTTCTTTTTTTTCTTTTTATCTTTTATTTCTTATCTTTTTTCTTTCTTTTTATCTTTTTTCTATCTTTTTATCTTTTTTATTTTTTGTTTTCTTTCTTTTTATCTTTTTCTCTCTTTTTATCTTTTTTCTTTCTTTTTTTTCTTTTTCTTTTTTTTCTTTCTTTTTATCTTTTTTCTTTTTTGTTTTTTTTATCTTTTCTATTTCTTTTTATCTTTTCTATCTTTATATCTTTTTTCTACCTTTTTATCTTTTTTCTTTTTTTGTTTTCTTTCTTTTTATCTTTTTCTATCTTTTTATCTTTTTTCTTTCTTTTTTTTCTTTTTATCTTTTTCTTTCTTTTTATCTTTTTTCTTTTTTGTTTTTTTTTTATCTTTTCTATTTCTTTTTATCCTTTTCTATCTTTTTATCTTTTTTCTACCTTTTTATCTTTTTTCTTTTTTTGTTTTCTTTCTTTTTATCTCTCTTTTTTTTCTTTTTTTCTTTTTTCTTTCTTTTTTCTTCTTTTTTTCTTTCTTTACATGTGTTTTTTGTTCTTTTCTTTTTTCTTAATCTGGTTTTTGCTTTTCTTTCTTTTTAATTAGTTTTTCTTCTTTCTTTGGCCTTCTTTCTATTACTCTTTCTTTTTTAATCTTTCTTTTCATCTTTCTTTTTTCTTGTTTGTTTTTCCATTTTAAATTCTTTCAATCTTCATTATTTCTCAATTGCTCTTTAAAAAATTCTATTCTAACTTTCTTCCTTCCTTCCTTCCCTCCCTCCTTCCTTCCTTCCTTCCTATTCTTTTATTTGTGCCTTAGTCTTTCTTTCTTTACTTTTTTTTATATTTCTTAAATCTTTTGTACGCCATGTATACCTTTTTATAGCTCTTTTAAGGAACAATCAAGGAAAAATCTGAATAATTAGTCCAGTATGATAATCTGTCCTTCTCCTTAAACTTTTTGAAACAAACAAACAAACAAACAAACAAACACACACACACACACACACACACACACACACACGTTCTGCAGGTGTTTCTCGGAGGTCAGTAAAGTTTAGTCTTATCCGCCTGCCTCATTCCCATAGGCTTGCTCTATTTTCCCTCCTCCCCTTCTCTCTCTCTCTTCATCTCTTCCCTGATTGGCTGAAATCTGTCTGGATTTGTCTGCTGTCTCCGTTATCAATGATTCATGAAAGCGTGGACTGAAAAACATGCTGTGTCACCCGCTCTGGCGGCGCGCCAACCCCTACAGCCCGCCACACAGATTTAGGCATGTGCCCGTTTACTGAAGGTGTAATGATAATGCTCAGGTCATATCAATCAAAGCTCATACAGCAAGCATATACATGACAGAAGCGCCGTTTACCGCCTACTGTTGCGGATATTAAATATCTGACAGATCCTCTGAAGCTGCAGACGTCACAAACGCCCCCTAGACAAACAACACAATCACACACTCCTGATCAAAGGTTTACCAAGCTTTTGGAGAGGTCACATGACGCTGCTATCTGAGGGCATGAGCTCTTCATATGTAGGGTGTGTGAGAGTCTGATTAATGAAGGACTAGAGCTGCTGATGTGAGCTGTCATTATCCATGATTGAGGTGCCAATGCTCCTGTGTTCTATTATGCATCCTACACATCCTACATGTTCAGTGCTATTTACACATGTTGTTTGAGTGAGTGAGCAAGCGAGTCCATGAGTGAGTGATTAATTGAGTGAGTGATTAATTGAGTGAGTACATGAGTGAGTGATTAATTGAGTGAGTACATGAGTGAGTGATTAATTGAGTGAGTTATTAATTGAGTGAGTACATGAGTGAGTGATTAATTGAGTGAGTACATGAGTGAGTGATTAATTGAGTGAGTACATGAGTGAGTAAATAATTGAGTGTGTACATGAGTGAGTGATTAATTGAGTGAGTTATTAATTGAGTGAGTACATGAGTGAGTGATTAATTGAGTGAGTACATGAGTGAGTGATTAATTGAGTGAGTGATTAATTGAGTGAGTAAATGAGTGAGTAAATAATTGAGTGAGTACATGAGTGAGTGATTAATTGAGTGAGGTATTAATTGAGTGAGTACATGAGTGAGTGATTAATTGAGTGAGTACATGAGTGAGTGATTAATTGAGTGAGTACATGAGTGAGTGATTAATTGAGTGAGTGAGTGAGTGAGTGAGTGAGTGAGTGAGGGATTAATTGAGTGAGGTATTAATTGAGTGAGTACATGAGTGAGTGATTAATTGAGTGAGTACATGAGTGAGTGATTAATTGAGTGAGTACATGAGTGAGTGATTAATTGAGTGAGTGAGTGAGTGAGTGAGTGAGTGAGTGAGGGATTAATTGAGTGAGTTATTAATTGAGTGAGTACATGAGTGAGTGATTAATTGAGTGAGTACATGAGTGAGTGATTAATTGAGTGAGTACATGAGTGAGTGATTAATTGAGTGAGTGAGTGAGTGAGTGAGTGA